GGCCAACCACGGATTTCTGCATTGGCGGTGCGCCACCTCGAATCTCGCTGTGACGCGATCGTGCACTCGCTTGACTCCCTTGAAGCCTCCATTCAGGGTAGGCGGGGCTAATCTTTGGGCCATACATTGGCCTTAGGTTTTGCTTGGTACAGTCGATGCACCGCATCCTGCATTTTTGACGCCCAAAACAGGTGCCGGGTTCAGGCGTGCTTTCGGCTGCATTCTTGCTTGCTGCATGTCTGTGCATTGTCTGTCTGTCAGGGTCCCGCATGCTCGCTTTTCATCGCTGTGGCTCCAGCTGATTGTTTTTTCCGTCGTTGCGGAGCTGTGATACAATCCTGCATATTGTGGACTCCATCGGCGTCCCACCTTGGAGGCTGCCGTCTAAATGCTTCCCCGCAACAGGTGGTGCAATGAAGCGCCCCATTGTGCTTTTGGACAACCCGGTACTGCAGGTGCATCCCAGCAAGAGCTTGTTCCTCCTCGCAAGAAACGCTTTGCGTGGCAGCGCCCTTCATCGCCTGTCTCCGAGGTTCCGCCGTTTGTTCCAAAGAGGCCCTTGCTGGGCTCGTGTGCGGCGCCTGCATCTTCTTCTGAAGCTGCTGTCGATATGAGGTCTGGGCACTTCAAGGACTTTCCCCCGGCCTGTCCGGCTAAACCGTACATTGGGGCTCCTGGCACCGTGCACCAAGCCTACTCTCTTGCATTGCAACAGCAGGTTACGGAGTGGGTGCGGCTAGCCCGCTTAGCTTCTCCGCATAGCTCTGCATTGCCTCAGGTCTTGAAATCGGGACAGGCAGATATGCATTTGGCCAATATGGTAGCGTCTTACGCTCCATCGACGCTGGCCGCCTACTTATCGAAGTGGCGACACTGGCTCAGGTTTGCATCGGCCTGCGATGCCAACCCTTACGATCCTTCCATTGATCTTCTCCTGGATTTTTTGGCTACTAATTCCAGGGGCAAATTGCAAACCGCGACCACATGGATCAAATCCTTGAGATTCATCTCCCGGAAGGCGCAACTGGACTCGCTGCGTTCGGCTCTGCGTTCGGACCTCGTTTCAGCTTACGGCAGATCTGGCTCCATTGTGGAACGCAGAGAGAGTGCGCCTTTGCCCCTCAGTTTTGTCATATTCCTCGAGCGCCGGGTTCTGGATACATCCCTTTCTTCTCAGCAGCGGATCATTGCAGGGGCTTTTCTGCTCTGCATCTTTGCATCCCTCCGATTCTCGGATGCATTATGGTGTCCACCAGGGCGCTTGTCCATCACGGGGGAGTGTCTTTTGGGCGTGTGCCTCAAAACGAAAACCACCCGGCGGGCGATGCCATTTGGGGCTCTTGCCGGTGGTTTTCTCCATCGTGGCGCTCAAGGGTGGGCGCATGCCTGGTTGCATCTTGTGCAGGTCTCATTGCAAGCCACCGCGATGCTGCATCCCAACTTCACACCGGATTTCGTTCTGGCCAGGTTGGGATCCGATGCTAACCAGCCCTTATTTCTTGCACCCATGTCACGGTCGGAAGGCATTGTACTCCTTCGGCAGCTCTTCTCTACTTGCTATTCACAGACGCCTGCATCGACCCGCCCCGAGGCTGACCTGCTGGGGGTTCCACTCGCTTAAGGTCACGTTCTTAAGCTATGGGCGGCAACTTCTCATCCGCGAAGATCTTCAGCGCCAGCAAGGACATCACCGTTCTTCTCTGGCCGGCATGTCAGACCTCTATGGTCGTGACGATGTGGCCGGTCCATTGGAGTTTCAGCGCCAGGTTGTTGGGGCTGTCCTCGAAGGTTTTCGTCCCCGCCGTCCTCGTCTGCGTGGAGGGCTCCCTCCCACGGTGGACGTCGAGGTTGCTCTGCCTTGTGTTCCAGGTGCATCGGACATGCCACCCGTCGGCTCCAACCCGGTGCCTCCGGCTGAGCATGATACATCCAGCGAGTCAGAGGTTGAGGATACACGATCGGCTTCCCCGATTCCATTGCCTCCGCCCACTCAGGAGTTGCCGGAATCTGTTACGGAAGCATTGTCTATGACAATGGAGCCTATTCCTCAGGATGCTTCATCTTCCTCTGGCGCGGCTGAGGAGTGGACTGATGTCCAGGGTCACGCCGACGAATTCTTCTTTCTTCTGAATGGTGTACCCCACATAGCTCATAAAGCTCAGCCATGCACCACGTCTCACCCTGCATTTCAGGTCAAGGTGCCGCGCCTCAAGCTTTCATTGCGTGCAGGCTGCAGTGTTCGTGGTGTGGAATCTCTTCAATTTTCTGAGTTCGTCCCTGAGGGGTTTCGCATGTGCTTAAAGCGCGGCTGCCTTCTGGACTGAACTCATGCACTCTCTACCTGCCATTCATGGTGTAAAGAGCTCACGCTTGCGCTCATGCACTTGGCAGTTGGTTGCATTCCTCTTGGCCACCATTTCTGCTGAGCCTTGATTTCCGGTGCGGGTTCACAGGACGTCTTGCTTGCATCTAGGTCCCTGTGCCCTTATGGCCAGTTCCTCCAGCTATACCAGCGAGTCGGCTAGTACATCCTTCTCATCGGAGATCGAGCTGTTCTTGGAGGCCCCCGCCGCAGATTGGCTACCTGTCGTTCGAATTCGCCCGCGGCATTTTCATACTCCTCGGCTCGAGTACATTCTCTGGCTCAGTACGCGCACTGAAAGAGCTATTCTCACGCGGAAGGAGATCACTATTTGGGAGGCCGCCTGGGGCAGCATTGCCTTTACCCTTAACCATCGTGTCCTGCTTTTCTCTAATCAGCAGATTTGGCTTGCCGCTGCATTAGGCAATTGTGAGCTGCACCGCTGTGTGGCCACGGCTCTGTACTTAGGCCCCTGATGAGGGCTTCATGGGCTCACTGCCTAAGCGCATTTGCCCTGAAACATTTCATTTTCTCAGGAGCGTAGTAGCCTGCCGCATGGGCGCACAAAGTGTTGCGGGTCCGCCTTTCCTTTTTGCATCCTTGCCTCTTGCTTTCACATTGGAGGGGCACGCTGCACTCCACGTGTTGCGGGTTGGCTGAACTGCATTGCCCGTACCGCAGCCTTTTCTTGCTTTTTACGCACGTGCAGTTCCATCTTGCCCTCGCTTGGTCTCTCCCAAGCATCATGGCGGCTCCCCCTCGTCACGATGACCCGGCTTACTTTCAGAAGAGATGCGAGGACATGTCTCTTCCGGCCGGTTTGTTGGATACATTGGTCGACAAAGGCTTCAACTCCATGGCGTTGCTTGCCTTTGCCGTGCCCGACTCCGACTCCCTCGAGCACTTCATCGTGTCCATTGTGGGTCGCCCTCTTGGGTCTGATCCATCGGCGCCTCTGCTCACGGCAGATGCTGCTGCTCTTCGGCGATTATACCACCTCTGCAAAACCGAGTGTGCCGGGGTTGGCCCCTCTGCTCCCGCCTCCATCGTGCCAGCTGCCTCCGGCAAGAAATCGCTGTCTAAGGAGGAGATAGCGGAGTTGATGCAAAAATTCATGAAGGCTTATCCATCAGAACTTGTTCGGGCGGATATTATGCCTTCATCTCCTTTTCTCATGATTGTGCGCGAGCATTTGGATGCTGGGCGGTTCTCCTGGATCCCCTGGAGGCTGTGTTCATCTGCATCAGATGAGGAGCAATTCCTTGAGCGTCGTCGGCCTCGGACAGATGCAAAATTGCTGACTCGCCTCTTGCAAGAGGGTCAGCCTGAGGAGGAATGCATTGCGTCAATCCCGCAGTCCGGTCCAGTGGAGCCAATTGTGCGCCGCTTCTGGGACCTCCTTATGTACGCCATTGCACTCAATGACGGGGCTCATCTTCTGCATCTCAGAAAAGCTGCCGAGAAGTTTCTCAGCATTGCATTGGCTACGCCCTCGGATCGCAACATGCGCCCTCCATCACTCCAGGAGATCGTGGAGGCGGACCGTGCTCTCTGGCTGGGGGTCGCTTCCATTCAAGCGGACCAGGGCTGGTCACTTACCGATGCTTTGGCGGAGATGATTTTTGCTCGTCCGGATGTCTACAGTGCTTTGGCCCCTAGGTTAAAGCCCCATACACCACCTGCACCTCCCGCTGCATCGGGGGCCAATAAGCGCAAACAGCCTGTCTTGCCGCCTCCCCCACCGCATAAGCAGGCCCGTCCTGCTAAGGCCAAGGCTAAGGCTACATCCAAGAAGGACGCTGCCCCCAAGGTCTCCCTCAAGTCTTGGCCGGATTCGTGGGCTCGCACTATTGAGGGTAAGGGACCTTGCATCCGTTTCCACACTGACAAGTGTTGCAACAAGTCTTGTCGTTTTTCCCACCTCTGCCCGATCCTCATGGGGAACAACACCCCGTGTGGCAAGCCGCATCGTGCAGCGGACCATGCATCGGCTCCGCATTGACTAGGCTCTGCATCGGGTCTTGGGGCGCTCCTGGATTCTACTCATGCCACGGCGGGGTCTGATGCCCCTCCAGATTTTGCTGCACCATCGACACTTTCTGCCGAGGTACTTGCATCTCGCCTCCTTAGTGATGCATCGGTGCCTTCATGCTCAGACATTTTGTTCCTGGCTGAGGCTCTTCTTCGCGAG